CTTTTTGGCTCTCCTGTTCAAACAATATGAAACTTTACAGTGCCTACCAATACAGGTCTTTGTGACGACCAGCTCCTTAATATAGGGAAACAAAACAACTGTGGATCCATCGAATAAAGAACTGAAAGTCTTGCTAAGAAATTAAATTTACAGCTCAGTAGATGGGAATCAAAAATATCAAATGAAGAGTCAATATTCTTTAGATACGGACTGTAGGGATAGGCTTAACATGGAAAGACAGAGTTGAATGAAATGATAATTTCACTATTCAGATGGTGTTTTCTAGAAGGTGGCATGACACAGACTGAGGTGATTTATACTTAACAGCTGCAGGAACAGCTTTGAACCGACTCAATGGCCATTCATGATAAGTTACAGAAAATACTGTTTTGGTTGTCTATTATTCTAAATAAAACAGGGATGTTCCCTGTTGGCCAGCAGCTATATCACCCTGCAGCTCTCAACTGGCTACCCACTGAAGCTAAGCAGGGTTGAGCCTGGCCAGTACCTGCATGGGTGACCTCCTGGAAAGCTATGGTTGCTGCTGGAAGTGGTGTTAGTGGGACCAGCGGGGGTCCTAATGCCCCGGTATAGTGGCGGGGACACAATACTGTAGTGGGCACTGCCTTTCGGATGAGACGTTAAACCGCGGTCCTGACTCTCAGTGGTCATTAAAGATCCCCGGACATTTCTCGATAAGAGCAGGGAGTTATCCCGGTGTCCGAGCCAAATTTCCTCCCCAGCCTTTACCGTAGCCTCCAAATTGTCCCCATGTATGATTGGCTTGCACTTGCCCTGCGATGCCCTGCCTTGCGCTCGTTGCTTGCTGGGTAGGCTCTGGATTCCCGCGACACCGTGGGGTATAAAGCAGTTTGGCAAATGACATGACATGACATGTTCCCTGTTTGCATATGGTGATCTTGCTAGATGATGCCTAATAGAGGTATCTCTTGTAGCAGCCAAAACATTTAATTGAAAGTTCTGATTGCAGCTAAAAGTACTCAGCTCTGCAATGGTCAATACATCACTATGTGCAAAAAAAGGTTAATTTTACAGGTTTGTTTTATTGGACACAATTCAGCTTAAAACACCTTCTAAATCAATTAACAGCTGTTACCTGTAAGGTTGCGTCACACAAGAACCTGACAATAAAATCCAAATGAAAATACAAACCTTCCCCCAAATCAATCATTTTTCATTTCTACCCACTATTCATGTTCTATTGGTTAAATTCGAACTGCCCTGAAAAGGAAAATAATCACTTTCTGCAGCTTTAGTGAAGAGGTCATTAAAAACATCTGCATTCATTCCAGCATGGTCTGTGTCATGTACAGTGCAAGAGACATTACCTGGATTAGAGACTCTGTCGCGGTACTTTGGAGTGTAGTCATCCAATGTCTGAAGCATAACCCACATAGTGAGTGTGAACAGCCCGGCTAGGAAACCATAGAAGACTAGATAGAAGAGAAGGATCAGCGCTGGGGAAGAGAAAGAGAGAATAAATTACTTTGAGTCCCGCCCATGATGAAAAGGACACGCTTGAAAATAACAAATGTTATCTGATTACATGTACAATCATCATTTGTCTCCCTTTTAATTCCTGCCCTGTTTCTAAATGTCATCACAAGCCACAGTACAAAGGAATGTGATGTACTCCACAAGCACTCTCTCCCAGTTGTGGTAATATTCAATTATACAGTACAGATTAAATAAAAAATGCAATGTTCCTTATGCTGTGTTTTTTTGGGGGGGTTGTCCGTGCAGGCTTTTATTAAATGCATTGGATGCATAAAAAGCTATACAAGTAAATTCATGACAGTGTTTTCAAACCTGCATCATGTTTTTTTTTTCTTAGTTTTGCTACGGTTTCCTTTGGCTTAACTACTTTTTATTACCCTGGCCCATAGGAATCCCAATCTACAGTATATGACAGTAAATGTGTCTAAAGAATGTCTACAATGGTACTGTATACTGCGGTTCACTCATTGGCTGAAGGTCCAAGGACATTCAAGGCATACCAAAACCATGGTGCAGCATAGCAGAAACATACATACTGTATTGTGAGGAAAACATTTAAAAGGTGAATACCCTGTATTACTCCAAGTTGAGTAGATATGGTTAGGAAAGAATTAATCCCAGATAAAGAATTTGAAAACGCGGCCTACTGAGTAAAAGGTGTACCGTATCAGCCTTATCACCACCTAGGAGGAACCAGCTGTCAGTCTTTAATATCCTGATCTAAACCTGACAGCTGGGATCCTCCCTGTTTAAACCTGTGCTCCTTTTCAGCAGGGGTGTGAGGCAGCCAGAGAGGCCGGTGAGAGACTGCACGCCAGGGCTCGGTGACAGAGCCCGTCTCGGAGAGAGAGGAACCATGAGTGTAACACAATAACCCAGATGAACGAGTCTATATCCGACGTCGTGCTGTGAAGCCACCAGGGTCCTGCCAGGTGAAGACATGTGCTTTGTAAAATAGACAAATTCTGTGATAAGAATAAAAAGAGAGCTGTTGCACTGTAATGCATTTTCTGGCCACAAGCTTGATCATCTTAACTTCTTTACCAGACTGTAACATACACATAGTAGTAAGGTTTATTTACTTCCTTCACAGTATTTGCCACAAACAAATAAAGCCTTAATAGACCCTCTTTTTTGACATTCAGTGACAAATCCGGACACCTCAATGTTTTAACATGCCGCCACCTTAGATTTGCTCTATCATAGCTTCTATCATAACTTGCCTACTGGGCAGCGTGAAATTCACATCAGAGGCAAGGTGATTCAGAATGCAAAGGTCTCAGTATTAGAATTTGGGGAATTTGTATCTGGACATTCAAAAGAATGTAAAACAAGGGCAAAGAGGAAAATATATATTCTATCATATGTCTAAGCAATTCACACAGAGAGGCATATAACACTTTGGGTTTTAATCAGCAGCATAATTCTGTGTGAAGCTCACTCTTCTAACAGCATTTTAGAAGTCTCTCACAATTAGAAGGGACAGAATGAGAACAATCTTTCGTCTACACAAGACTGTGTTGTACTTGAATGTAAATCTCTGCAGGTGTTCATTCTAGCATATAATCCAATACGAGCTCATATGCACAGGAGTGTCATTGCAGAAACCAGAGGCCTGCCTCGGAGCTACAACAAGAGAACAAGTTCACATCGCGGGGATGGGTGACATGCGATGAATGTGTGTAGGTGGTAGTAAACATATAGTATTCCTTGGTTCCCTCCTCCTCAAAAAAGCCTACAAAAATCACAAAGAGGGCTTTAGCACCTATTAGATT